AAATGGTGACGATTTATCTTGTATTTTGGCATAATTTTTTTCCTTCAAATAGTGACGATTTATCTTGTATTCTGGCATTTTATCTCTTGAAATGGTGACGATTTATCTTGTATTCTGGCATTTTATTTCTTGAAATGGTGACGATTTATCTTGTATTCTGGCATTTTATTTCTTCAAATCGTGACGATTTATAATGTATTCTGGCATTTTATTTCTTGAAATAGTGACGATTTATCTTGTATTCTGGCATTTTATCTCTTCAAATGGCGAAGTTTTGTCATTTTATCTCTTTAAATAGTGACGATTGATCTCGTATTCTGGCATTTTATCTCTTTAGATTGTGGCGATTCTGGCATTTTAGGCCTTAAAATGGTGATGATTGCCTTGTAGTCTGGTATTTCATCTTTTATTTTGGTATGGTAGCCCTTTAAATTTTGCCGATGTATCCTTATATTCTGGACTTATTGTCTCTATACTGTTTTTCAAATGCCAGAAATGTTATTGAGTGCACGTACAAGTATTCTATTATATTTACAATGATGAATCAATAAACTGAGACACATAAAACACGTAACTTGTATTTTTTGTATTTAAAAAGCTCTCGTTCTATCGATTTAAATGTAATCGAAATCGAATTTACAGAAGCACGAAAAAAGAGTGGATCAAAACAAGTAAGGAACACAGAAAGAAAGAAGTGTAAAACCAAAATCGAGATTTTTTTTTTAATTTGTTTTTCTTTTTTTTTTTTTTGTTTTGTTTTGTTTTAATTTCTTATTTGAAAGAAATTACCACCATATCGCCATAAACCAGCCAATAAAGATTAATATTTTACCACCTTTGATTTCGTATCAATGCTTGCATAATTCTCTCACATTACTTCTCTCCAAGAGCGTACAAGTTATAGCACTTATTGTTGTAATGAAAATAGGGTTTAATGAAGACGGGCATTTATTTGTTGCGATGTAAATGAGAACTGGTCAAGTTTGCAAGGCAGAGCAATTATCATACTTCTCACAATGTTTCGTTCGATTAGACCTAATCCCACTCAAACACTGCCATACTCAGCGCACATTTCCGTCCCAAACTATGACTGGTTAACAGTCCGATCAACAACCAGTACATAACGACGCAACAAAATCAATCGGGATTAAACAGGGGTCTAAATATTTTACCGTAAAGTGTCTGGTGACGGATGTCAGCTGTTTCGTAACCTGGCTGTTTCGTACTTAGTTCATTCGTACCTCACATGAGCCGTTTCGTACTTCACTTCACGTGGCTACATTACGTAAGAAGGCGCGAAATGTATTACACTCGATTAACTAGTACATAACAGAACATTGCAGAGAAACTAATTGTGTGATAAAAGAGGCAGATCAAAGAGAAGGGCTGTCTGGTGACAAACGCAGCTACATCACGTCAGAAGGCGCAAAATGTATTACGCTCAATTAACTAGTACAAAACAGAATATTGCAGAGAAACTAATTGTGTGATAAACGATGATATTTACAATAGCTGCAATGTAAACATTATGGTAATCGCCGCACACGTGGATCTTTTTTATCATCTCTTGGACCACACAGCATATCAAAGAGAATGACTGTCATGTTAGGTATTGTGTTTCAACGAACTGGATAGAAATACGACGTGCTTTTTTTGATAAAAAAATGGATAAATATTATCGAATATTTAAAGGTAGGCAGTAATAATTGGTACACGTTTATAGAATTTATATCGGAGATTTGAGTCAAAGATTGTTCGTTCGAATATCGAGTTTTAGCCAATTTTACCTATGCGAGTATCGATGTTTGTTCCCGATTCATCCAAGGGTAATTTTTTTCTTGAAATCAGCACTAACAAACACTAGGATTTTTTAAAAAGTGATCACCACTATATTTTACTCAGAAGAGATTTGATTGGACGATGAGAATGGACACGCTCCGTGAAAAAACTCAAGTTTTCAGTCTCAATACACCAATGGCTAGAGAGGGATCTCTCGGGCCATTGCTTCAAGAATATGTGATACGTTTCTAAAGAACTAGGTTCCATCTTGACTGGCAAACACCTTGTGTCTGAATAAATCTGTGCAAAACTCAGACGCTTGCGCACAGATAACTTCCTGTTACTCTTTTGCTTGTGTAGGGATGGGTCATTTTTTTTTGTTTTTTTTTTTGTTGATTTACTGTATTGTAATTAACTCTGTCTCCGGGTCCTCCGGTTTCCGCCCACGCGCATGCGAATTGTTAAATAAAAAACGAGAACCATAAGCTAGTCCCGAAATGATCAAGTTTGCAATCGGGTGGACGTTACCCCCCCCCTCCCTCTCTCTCTATCTCTCTCTCTCTCTCTCTCTCTCTCTCTCCTGCACACGATTAAATCAGTCTGTAGAATCGCGGGGAACCTTCGAGACCAGTTAGGTGATCTAATAATAGATCTCCTGATTATAGTGAGCAATTGCCTTACTTACCGATCCAACGTGGCCCATCCTTTAGATGTATTCATTTGATTTGTTTGTGTCAATGAAAATAGTGTTTCTCAGTAACGATGAAATAATATGTGTATGTAAAACGAATGACATGCTCGTTTTTTTTAAATCGTTTAAATTTTATTCGACTTATATAAATATGAAGAAACAGTCAATATTATATCGATATCGATCGTGTAGTTACAAATTCATTATGAACGAGCGGACTGTCATTGCTATATTCGTTCAAAAGTAGATACGGGAAAATTAATATATTGAAAATTTCATTCAAAGTTATCGGTGTTTGAAGATGTTGCATAGATTGTTTATTATCGTAACAGGGGTACTTGACAAGCGAGACTATGTCTAGATTCAACATTTTTAAATTTAATTATATAAAGCGAGAATTTTATATTTTCTAAGAAAGTCAAAACATAATTATCTCTCTGTCTTGTGCTCAATAGGTTGTCAACTCACTATTATACGATCATAGGTATCATTCTCACACTTAAAAATCATTCACACCGGAAATAATAACACAATTACCTCCCTTGTTTCTTCTATTCCTCCCATGGAATAGCTATCTTCAAACGTTTGAATTTGAAGTTGAAAATGATATTGTTGCCTATTTCACAACGGGCAAAAGTGAATTATAGGATTAATAAGATAATTCTTTAACAAGGCAGGACTGTTTATATATACCATCTATTTTAAGGCTAAATTTCAATACATTTTAAAAATATAACTTAAAAATATGAAATTATCGCTTTAATGGCGATTGAGTTTCAACTCATTTAAATCTCGGTGTTATCATTTACAAAAAAAAAATATCTCTTTGTAATAAATCAATTAATTTATACCATTACTAAAGTGTCTCAAATTTTATTGTCACCAGTTTGACTCTTATAGTTATAAATATCTCCTGATTAAGACTTGGTATATGTGCCAAATAAATTCCCACACTCGGCACACAGAGATCCATCTACTTCATACCTCGAGAATAGACCGCCATATCTAAAAATTAATATACTGTTTTGTAGTGCGGTTCTACTCTGTTTCACATCTGTCACGCACACAAAGACTAAATAAACTTTTTCAATATTGTATTAAATGGAAGCAGAATAACTACTAAACAAAGTTTTCGAAGTATACTTAGTGTTTTCGACTAAAATCGTCGATTAAGAGCTTAAAATTTCGGTCAACTAGCTTTGTGTCTGTTCTCAAGCTGGGAGCCAACTGTAAGCAGACAACCTAAGTTTAGTATGAAATTCCCATATACTTTCAGGAGATCTAATTAGGAAATACTACGCCCAAATTAGGACATATAATTCAGACTGGACCCAATTAGCTATACATGTATTAGCTATATGTTAAAATCAGAATAATTTTAAATTACAACCATTAAAGATACATTATTGGGGATTAGATAAAGAGGTTTCAGTTCTCACTATTATAGTTAAAAACTAGATAATGTAAAGGGAATTTGCTGAAAATTTCAGTCCAATTGATCCACTTTGAACCGAGAATTTAGCGATTGAATTTTCGACCTAACCTGGATCATCATTACTAAAGTCGGTACTTTAAAAAAAAACATTGTCTCTATTATCCATTTTTTGATTTAATCATAAATGAGTGTTGAGCAGCAGATCTGATCATACTCCAGTAAATATCACAGGCTAACGATGACATCGATAGTTGATTATGGTCTGGATAAGTTAATTAATGTCTGATTAATAATTTAGATAACATTTCAGGCCAAAAGAAAGACCTGCAATAGGTAGATTTAGCTCTTGCGTAATGTATGTTTAAAGGGATAATAGGACAATAGTGGTGTCAGCCATTATCACATATGTTATAGAACTGGTTAAACACGTTCCAAATATAATTTTAACAAAGAGATCATTGCAACAATAGAGGCATAATGAAGATGTGAAGAATCAGAAGTGACGGAAACAATAGTAAGCAAGAGTTGTGACTGAGTAAAGAGCGATAACAGATACACGGTTGAATTTCTGCTCACTGATAATTCCTTCGAGGACCAAACGTTGTTATATGAGACAGTGAGAGGATATCTGACAATTCATAAAAGAATTGACTGTCACTAGATAAGCGAAAAGGAAAACAGTAGAAAAAGTCCATGCATTACTACGATTTTATTAATTATAGAATGAATAAAAACACGGGAATGTACGGGCTATTTCTATTTTTCTCGTGTTAAAAATTAGATTTGGAATGTGTTTAACCAGTTCTATCACGTATGTGATAATGACTAACAGTGACTGACACCAATATTGTCCTTTAATGGGGTTATCTCCTATAGGACTTACCATCTCTCCTAATTAGGACTTACTATCTCCTAATTAGGACTTAATGAGGCTAGTTGAGAACAAATGTTATATCATTGTTAAAACACACTCGTATGAATGCAGACTGTAAATCAAGAACACTTGATAGCATTTCACATTTCGTGATAACTGCCTTCTTCAATGGGATATATACTTATTTTTTAAAAATATTCTCTTTTCAGACATCATGACATGAATATGTGAGTAGTCACGTGACTTGAAGTTATTAATACAAGATGTGTGATTGGTTGATCGCCTGTCACGTGATATTCGGACTATTGATACAGTTACTGATAAACCATGGAGCCTGTAAGTATTTGATGTATGAATGCACTCGCTATTTTACGATCATGTCTAGGCTATCGGATGGGACAAACAATAGAGGTCCCGTGTGCACATTGGAGTGCACGTAAAAGATCCCTTGGCAGTTGGAATTCGATATAATAGTGCGCAGTTGTCCGGGTAAAATTCCTCTCATAGCACACTGTACTGCGTATGTCCGTCTTCATTAGCCCTTGGAGTAGAACAGTAGGACGTTAAACTCCATTTCATTTCTGTGTATATAAATGACTCGGTTTATTTCTATTAAAAGAGAGAGAGGGGGAGGACCCGGAGAAACCCCATGAGGTTGGACAGGCGACCCTACTCCTTGTCACGTACAACCGGGGAATGGAAACCACGCCATCCAACTCCCCTTATTGCTATTAAAAGAAATTGTGTTTAATTTCAGACGCTGGCTGTAGGTCACATGAAGGAATAGACTACCTAACAGCAGATAAATATGGCACAGTAGATTATTTTTACTCTCCTGGGACCACTCGGTACCCTAATTATACTTATTATGAGTGAGTAATTGTTTATAAATAAAACTATTTAGGAGACGGAAGTTGACAAATCAGATTTATTTTCAGGAGATAGACGCTGATCTCAACAATAAAATATGACAAAGGCAATTATTTGTATTCTGCATGACTCGGTAGCCTAATTATACTTATTAAGAGTTATTACAGTTTTAAAAAAAGTACTATTGTCAGGCGCTCAAAGTCAGCTACACAAATTTATTGGCTGGGCACTGAACTCGACTATCACTATTGTAGCACAATTCATGAGTTTTTCCTAATTATACTTAAAAGAGTGCGTAAATTTATATTTTAAACACAATATTCAGGAGACGGAAGTCGACATCAAAAATAAATTGTCGGGAGCACAGTGCTCTATTTTTATCCTCCCGGTGGCATACGGTGCCCTAATTATTATTTATTATAAGTAAGTAAATTTAAAATCAAAACAAGTATAGTTAAGGGGCGGAAGCCGACAAAAAAATTGGTCAGGGAGCCTCAAGACAGCAACACGAAATTACTCTAATTCTTCTGGTGGAATCAATCGGTACCCTTATTATACTTATTTCAAAAAACCTAGCTCACAGGCGGAAGTCGGCAAATATACCTATTTTCAGCAGCACAAAATTGTTGGCGGGAATATGAACTCAACTATAAATATGGCACAGTTCACATTTTTACTGTCCTGGAACCACTCAGTAAATAAATTATATTCATTATGAGTAAGTAAGTTTTTGAAATCCAAACAATTTCAATTAAGAGACCGGAGTCGAAAAATTATTGTCAGGAACCCAAAGTCATCAACACAAAATTAGTAAATTGGAAAAAAATACCAACTATAGTTAAGATAAATTGTTTCAATGACATTTAGTAATTGAACTGGAATAAACAGGTCACAATTCTATTGAATACAATGTCAGCAGTACAAACTTATAACGAAAACGCGGAACTCGACCATAAATATAGCATAGTTCATTATTTTTTCTCTCCTAAAACCACACATTGCCCTAATAATTTTTTGCGTGTTTTCATGGACCTAAAGTCAGCAACACAAAATTATAGCACAGTTCAATATACTTACTAACCTGGAACCACTCTTTGTCCTAATTATATACACTTATTATAAGAACATAAAAAAAAGTTAGTTAAGAGGCGAAAGTCAGTAAAACAAATATCGTCAGTAGTCCGAAGTCAGCAACAATAAAGGTATAGAAATGCTCCAGATCTTGACTTGGTTACCATTGTCAACAGTGTATTAAGTTACTCTCGAATATAAGAGATCTAATTCAAATTTACAATGTTTTATCTTGGGACAATATTGGTTTTAATTAACTAACAACAATGGCTTAAATCAGAATGCTGAGAGAGAAAAAAACAATGAGTAAAACCAAAATCAAAATGGTTAGGTGGTTGTTTATTGTGGACTAATATTATATATAATACTGTTTGATATAGACTAACATTACTGTTTATTGTAGACTGATATTGTACACTAACATGTATAATACTGCTTATTATAGACTAATATTATATATAATACTGTTTATTGTAGACTAGTATTATATATAATATTGTTTATTGTAGACCGATATTGTACACTAACATGTATAATACTGTTTATTGTAGACTGATATTATATATAATACTGTTTATTGTAGAATTATATATAATACTGTTTATTGTATAATACTGTTTATTGTAGACTAATATTATATATAATACTGTTTATTGTAGAATTATATATAATACTGTTTATTGTAGACTAACATTATATATAATACTGTTTATTGTTATTGTGGACTAATATTATATTATTGTGCGTAGGGGGGACCTGGAGAAAACCCACGAGGCTGGACAAGTGCCCATACTCCTTATGACAGACCTTATGATTTAAGTGCACGCGTTATACCATTCCATCATCCAACCCCCCATTATTCGAAAGAAGAACGATAAGACACGTCTCTTGTTCATCCCCTCTTAATAATTTTTTCAGCGATCAGCTCTGTGAATGGCAGATTAGATCAGAGGAGGACAATCGATTAGTTAAAATTCATTTTAATCTGATACATGTAGAAGATGATACCAACTGTGAATTGGATAATATAACTATATATGACGGTAAGTTGTACATTAGAATAATTAAACATACATTATGCAAGAGCTAAATCTACCTATTTCAGTTCTTTCTTTAGACTTGAAATGTTATATAAATTATTAATTAGACATTAATTAACTTATCCAGACCATAATCAACTCTCGATGCCATCGCTAGCCTGCGATGTTTATCGGATTAGGTTCCGATTTGTTGTTCGACTTCCATTCATGATTTAATCATGAACTGGATAATCGAAACTATGTTTTTTATCGTACCGACTTTAGTAATGACGATCGAGGCTAGGTCGAAAATTCAATCGCTAAAATTTCGGTTCAGAGTGGACCAATTTGACTGAAATGTTCAGCAAATTCCCTTTACATTATCTAGTTTTTAACTATTATAATGCAAACTGCCAGCTCTTTATCTAATCTCCCATAATGTATCTTTAAGTATCTAACATAATATGGTCAGTAGCGTGCAAAGACGGACAAAAGGGGCGACGGCACAGGGTGTCCATATTTTCAAGGGTGGACATGTAATCAAGGACGTATATATAAATTAATATTAAGGGGAGTGGTGACCGCTGATTTTGAAGAGAGGGGTAATTGGGGCGTGGTAATCGTTTGTTTTGCATAGAGGTGGCAATTGGGGCGACGGCCCGGGTAACCATTTCAAGGCAGAGCATCTAATCAAGGGCGTGATATAAAATAATATCAAGGGGTGTGGTGGCCGCTTATTTTGCATAGCTCGGTTGGTGGGTGGGAGTGGACGGCAATCCTCTACGAGACATATTTTGACAACATAGATCATGTTAGAATCGATTTGTCGCATAGTTGAGCCACAGTATATGACATATGATTGAGCAATATGATTATGAGGTAATGAACACCAGAATCTGCCAATAGCGTTGGAACCGTCTGATTACGAGAATTGCGCAAAAACTCAAGGGGGTGGAAAAGCTCTAAACCCTCTAAACCGATGACGCAAAGCATGTCATAGTGACCCCTCCACTTCGTCCCTGAACCGATACTTGTTTGTTCTACCGCATTCGCAATACGGGAAGCATCACAGGCTAGCTAATCCTACAATCCCATACCAACCTGGATGGAACAGTTCGAGAGGCATGTACAATTGAGACCAAGTAAAACTGTCTACATTTTCGTTATCAGTCGTGCCAGTCATACACAATCAACATATTACCAATGGAATTTTGAGACTACTCTGCCTTGATATTCGACAACGCACAACAGCTATGTAAGGCTTATACATGTATATATGTATGTAGAGAAAATATACTTAGGCGCGATTTCCACAAACATTGATTGGACATAGAACGACAGATTATCAATGAACACGTGACACCAAAAGACAAGTGTGCGATCATCTGAAGACGATGAAGAAGATAAATTAACGACAGACTTGACCTATTCAAAATTCCTACGCATGTTAAATGAAATAAAAATTAATGTAAAAAAAATTTGAATGTACAGAAAGGTTTATCATTTTTAAAGAGAATAACGTTCTGGGGATTCGAAACTACATTATAATAATACTTCCGGTTTTCGAAGTTACAATAATACTTCCGGTTTTGATAAAACTGAGTATTCCGACAGTCTGTGTTATCCGACATATTGTAACGATCCCATACGATATCGGATTTGAAAGAGTCCACTGTATGTAGGTAGGTTATATAAACTTAGGCGCGATTTCCACAAACATTGATTGAATAGAATCCAGTTTCGATCGACTTTGCCGTTTGATAACTCCATTTAATCAATATCCAGTCATGCATTAGTCAATTCGTTTGGTGCTCTTGGTGGAATCAAGCATGGGCGATATGCTTGACCAATATTTTGTTCGGTCGAACGTTGTTGTCCGATCTAATTGTTCTTCAATTTCATTCAATCGTAACGGCACAGCAAAGGCGCTCCAAGGCCTGTGTTAAACAACGCTATACCCTGGACACGTCATTATCTATACATCGGGGAGCCACGGTGGCTAGCTGGTTAAGACGCTGGCTCGCTAGCCTGGAGGTCGGGTGTTCGATCCCTGCATTGGCCGAGAAAGTTCATCCAGATTTTCCGACGTGGTTTCCCCTTGTCAGTGGTGCAGAACGGAGGACCTGACAAGGACAGCTGTCTAGTCCTTCGGATGAGACGAAAATCCGAGGTCCCGTGTATATATTGGAATGCACGTAAAAGATCCGTTGGCAGTTGGAAATCGATATACGAGTAGGCGATAGTGCCGCTGCCCGGGCAAAATTTCCTTCATAGCACACTGTTTGGCGTATGCCCGTCTTCATTAGCCCAGTATAGGAGCAGAACAGTAGGACGTTAAACCCCATTTCAATTTTTCATCGGCAGAGAAAGTTCTTCGGAGTTTATCAGCCAGGTTTCCCATTGACTGAGGACCGGGCAAAAACAGTTGGGACGAATAACTGCGGTCTCGGGTACACTTTGGCATGCACATTAAAGAGCCTTTGACAGTTGGTAATCGGTGTAGATTAGGCGGAAACACAACCAGAAAAGTAGGGCGTTAAACCAACCAACCGGGTCATGCGGTATGGAGTGGGCGGTGGTTTAAATTAAGTCAGGGCCCTGTTTCACAAAAACTTAAAGCAATGTTAATTCAGTTTTGAAGCGTAATTGCTTACATTCTAAGTGAACCCACCGGAAATGTGCACTGCGCACAGTGTAACTAAAATCTATTAAAATTGCATTTTAAGTTACAATCGGTCTTCGTGAAAAACAAAAAATTTAAAATTTCATTTTGATTTTGGTTAAAATCTATTTTAGTGATTTTAGCTTAAGTTTTTGTGAAACAGGCCTCTAGGAGTTCGTTTACATGCATGCCAACATACAGGCTGTGAGCATCTGTTGCGATCGGATCAATTTTTATTAGCATTTTTAAACTCTAAACCAAAGCGTGTAGGCCAATATGAGGGGATTCTGTGTCTATTTAGGGATACAACAACAGCTAAATTTAAACCAATTCCCCAAATCAAGCATTGATATTGTCCCCGATGCACCCAAAGGTTGGTGAACGATGTATTATCTACATCTACATGGATAAAACTGAGGCAATTGTATACTGGCTTAATTTATCGGTGATTCCCCCAATGTATGCATTAGTCGTGCATTGTTAGACTGAAGCCTGACCGAAACTGAAGGTTGGTGGAAGATGCCGAACATGGATACCAATTTGGCTTTGACAAGGGCGTGTGCTGGCTTTGAATTTATCGCCAAGGACAGGCTAAATATCCTCCGTTTCGCTAATGTATGGCCTAGTGTCGCGGATTTAAACCTTGTATCGAGACTCAGGCCGGACATATCCCGAATGTTGGTTGGCAATGACAAAGGTGTTACTAGTAGAGACTTACAGAGCGTAAATTTAATATCTGTCTCAACTTTCGATTTGTTGTGTATGTACTGATAACTTACATACATTTGTTTTCGCAGGTAAGGACACGGAAGCCATACCAATAGCAACAATATGTGGTATCGGCAAAAGTCTTATATACTACAGCTCGGGGGTCTATATGTTCGTTGTGTTCCGTACCAATCATCTTAACCACTATAAAGGATTCACTGCAAAATACAATTCGGAACCTTCACGCACATCAGGTAAGCTCTCTAGAACGCATAATTAGTAATGTCAGGTGAACGCAACTGACTGTCTGACAGCTCGAGACAAACACAGTGAGAGAGACAAATAGGTTTAACACCCACTTGACACAAGTCTGTTCATTTCGGGACTAACACGTGGTTCAATTCTATTTCCATAATTCGCTTATGCGTACGAGGAAGCTGGAGGACCTGGCGAAGATCCACGATGCTGGACAGACGAGCCTCCTCCTGGTCACGTGGAAGTAATATGCTAATCTTTAATAACTGTTTTCAACAATCAGCTACGAGAGTTTATCATGTCTAAATTAAACACACCACTACACGTAGAGGTGAAGGGGTCAATGTCTTGTATGATCTCTTGATATGATCTCAATATTATAAAACACGCTAAGTAACATGAACTGTGATGCTGTATAATATTATATAATTCTGTCTCGATCAAGTTCGAAATTTTACTTTGTCATATTATTCGAGTGGTCTAACACAGTTCCACGACTGTATGTACCAAGTCGTGAAGTGGCTTTTATGGGGATCTTCGGTTTTTTCCCAGACCTGTAGAAAAATGAATGTATTAATAAAAAATAATATGTTTGTTCTAAAAATGTGAAAATGACCCGGGGGGAGATACTTGAACGTTACATATCTCTACATTTCAGGGGGTGGTGGTGCAGGAACAATGGGCGCCACCATGGGAAGCATCGCTGGCGGTGTGCTAATTATTGGTGCCATTTGCTGCTGCTGCTTCAAGAAAGGAATGAAAGGACGGGCTATCAAACCATCAACTACCTTCAGGTTCGGGAACAGGGGACTGTTCTCGGGGAACACAACGACGCTAACTAATCGGCCACGGAACAACGCAAGAACGACGACCACACAGAGTATTTTCAACGTTCGCAACAACACCGTGCAATTTAACAACTGTCCGCTTCAAGCAACTGCTTGTTCGCCGCCGTCCTACTCCTCTTTAGGAATCAACAGTAATGGAACCCCGTCCAAAAACCAAGCCCCTCCTCCTGCCTATTCTTCTTTGCCCAGTGGTCAAAACGATCCTCTCTCGCCTTCAATCCTAATACTGCCAGAGCCACCTCGCTACTCCTCTATAGCAGGCAACGTCGCTCATACCGTTTCGGAAACAAAATTTGTAGTACCACCACAACAACCACGTAAGCAAGCTCCAACGGCCAACAATGACAGAACAAACAATCGCGGCCAGCCAGTTTCCCAAACAGCGGCATCAGTACCGACGAGGAACGAAGAATCGATTTGGTCCCCACCTCCTCCATACGAGTATAAATTTTAAGCCACGTGTTAAATTTCCAAATTTGTTACGTATAAATATTCTCTGGGTTGTATTCTTCGACGTTATGTTGTGGCATTTTTTACGTTGTATTCTTAAACCTTACATTGTATCATTCCTTTAAGTCCTAACCTATTTAGTATTTGCGATGGCGTGACTTACGGGAACATTTATTTTATGCGGAGAAAAACAATACCTGTTTACCACCAAGTCCTAAGCAATTTATTTTTTGCACTGATGTAACTTACTGGACGATTTATTAGTGGAGAAACAAACATTGGCTGTTAACCAACAATATTGAGTGTCGTTAACACTACCAGTTGCATGATATTCAGGGAGATTTATTGCTAATATTGCGAAATGCAGTTACACTCTTGCCTTTCTACTCACCTCTTTATTTCTTTCAATGTCCTTATTCGCACAACGAACAGTTGTGGCTACTTGACTCGTAAATACGCCCAATCTGATGAACATTAGAAGTTTTTCCACTCGTGTTTCGTTTGCTTCCTGTTATATGCCGTATTTTATATTCTACTGGGCACAATTTTACTGAACTTCTGTCAAGTCGTGTCCTACTGTACGCATAACATCCAATCGTCGATTGGTCTATGTATAAACTTATTACGGGGACCTCTCCGAGTATAGTATGGTAATCTCATATAGGATCTCTGTACATCCTCTGTATACCCAGTGGTCTCATTCCGTTCTACTCCACTATACCCTTGGTTCATCCATGGGTATTCATGTATTCATTGATCGTAGCTTGATTTTACGGACCAATCAAACTGTTTAAAAACCAGCCTTAGCCCCATGGTTTACGTTCACAACAATATGGCGGCGTGTTTGCTCGATAATAAGAAAGTTTGCAAGAAATTTAATATAAAAGAAGTTACAAGCTCACAAAAAGTTGTCCCAAAACATCTGTTCGATGGGAACGATGTTTTTATGTCAGTTCGTATGCATTTAACGATGTTTTCGATTGGTCGGTAAAAATAGCACAATCATCAAGGGCAGATAATATGTACGTGTCTTCCCCATTGAGTGGATTGGGGTGAGGCTAATGGGGATACCGCAGATGGGATCTGCAGCGCCCGGAGCAAGACAAGCATTGCACCCGCCCACCGCCCCCCCCCCCCCCCAAAAAAAATGTTTCGAGGGAACGTAATTTTGTTCGGACTTTGAGATATGTTCTGTGTGAGGGCGCGCCATTATTTATTATCACTACTTTATTTCCCTTTCTTTTGAATTTTTTGCACCCCGGTAAGAATTGGGCGCCCCGAGCAACCAACCCAGATTGCGCCACTGTGTAGAAGAACATCAGGGCCATAAAAACGAAACGAAATAAAAATATAATTTTAATTGGATCACTGCAGAAATAATATCAATTACGACGACCTATAGGTGGCGGAACAACAGCATTGATAGAACTTATTTTTTTCCTAGAGTTGTGTTAAGAGGACATACTAGCGGAATTTACTATATTTCGTTAACTTTTAGAGCAGAAATTAGCAGAGCTTGTTATTTAAAGGGAAAGTGATGACTTGACATAACTGGTGGTGGCCAATACGATTTATGCTTTTGTGGTTCTTTAATACGTCCCGCATCCCTCCCCCGGTTCTTCGAACTTAAGGTCTGTCGAGGTGGTAGCAGGGTGATGATGTCCGTGTGTTTGTAAATAATTTATCCGGATGTGTTATTAAAACAAAACCCGTAAACTAAAATATCTTAAGAACGAAACCTTTTCATTGGCTGAAAGTAAGAATATGTGCTATGGCTTTACTGATCAGCCAATGAACAGGCGCTATTCTTAAAATATATTGGTTTTATAAACAATATTTTATTCGGAATATCTGAACGGTATTGGTGAACAGGCAGAGCCTATGTAAAAAAAAGAAACCACCCTTAAAATAGTTTAGTTCACCTGTGAAATCAAGTTATGACGGTTCGAAATCAATAATTAAAGGTTTAGTATTTTCCTGTGTGTGTGATTTTTTTTATTGTTGTTGCTTTTGTTTTGTTTTGTTTTGTTTTTTGTTTTTTATTATTGTTTATTGTCTGTGATAATAATTTTACTGCGTAATTGATTTTGTGTCAGTTAAAATGAAGACAGGTGACTAATTAACTAAACAATAGGTAAGATTAGATAAAGAGCTGACAGTTCTCGCTAGAATAGTTAAAAATAGATAATAAAAACGAAATGAAATGAAATGAAATAGGGTTTAACGTCCTACTGTTCTGCTCGTATACTGGGCTAATGAAGACGGGCATACGCCATACAGTGTGCTATGAGGGAAATTTTGCCCGGGCAGCGGCACTATCGCCTACTCTTATATCGAATTCCAACTGCCAGGGGATCTTTTACGTGCATTCCAATATATACACGGGACCTCGGTTTTTTGTCTCATCCGAAGGACTAGACAGCTGTACTTGTCAGGTCCTCCGTTCTGCACAACTGACAAGGGGAAACCACGTCGGAAAATCTGGATGAACTTTCTCGACCAATGCAGGGATCGAACACCCGACCCAGCGTCTTAACCACTTTGCCACCGTGGCTCCCCGATAATGAAAACAGGATATACTGAAGATTTCAGTCAAATTTCTTCATACAGTGAATATTCGCGAGGCCGCTACAACCACTGATAAGGATGACATCGATGCGACTTAATGAGCCAAAAATATTAACTTTTTTCCTGCGACAAATTAAATTCTAAAACATTTTTTTTAATGTATTAGAAAAATTAATAAAGACGTTTGAAGTATTGGTACGTAAAAATTATTTCCTATTTAGTGTAAATGGGTATTAAAATGAGTAAAAGGCACCATTCCGCCCGAACCAGTAGCGTCTTATGTAAACAATACACGCGCCATTCAGCCGATGTTTGACGCTGTGTGATGTGACGTACGTGTTGAAGGCAGTCATCTTTTACAGAGATATGAGAAGACTCGTAATCCTCTGTGAAACAGATTGATTTCTTCACTCTGAACCGAGATATAAGCGATTATTAGGCTAGCCTCGATCGTCATTACTCACGTTGGTACAATGATAAACAAAGTCTCTATTATCTATTTTCACGTTAAATTATCCATTACAAAGTGTATTCAAATCCTTATGCAAGAGCTAAATCTGCCTATTGCAGGTCTTTTTTTAAGTCCGAAATGTTATATAAACTATTAATAATTTTTAGACATTTATTAACATGAAAAGACCATAATCAACACTCGATGCCATATTATGTGTCCGATTTTGATAGGTTTTGAATCCGATCTGCTGCTTAACGCTCATTGATGATTAACCGTAAATGGATTTATTATCGAAACGTTATTAATTATCGTGACCGCGGTAACAATAACAATCGGGGCTACAATAATATTTTCTCGACGTAGAGTGAAGCAATTTTCAGCATATTCCCGTTACATTATCTAGTTAACCATTGTAGTGAGAACTGTCAGCTCTTTATCTAATCTTCCATAGTGTATCTTTAATTAATATCTAATTAATAATTTAGATAACATTTCAGGTCTAAAGAAATACCCACAATAGGCAGATTTAGCTCTTGCATAATGCATGTTTAATAATTGAAGCAGATGACTAATTGTGTTTGGTTGTTACACAGCTAAACAAAAAAAAACATTTGTGAAAAACAGTCATAAATTAAGGCCAAACCCAAATAATTTTCAGTTCTTCGGAGTCTTGATTATTATTATATTACTATATTATTATTATTATTATTATTTATAAAGCGCTACATTATAACAATAGTTATTTCTAAGCACTACACGGGCATATTCACAAACTGATACGCGCATGATTCTATTTATATATATGATTCTCTAAACAAACGAGTCTTTAGTTTAGATTAAAACAGAGAGTGTTGGGTGCACACTCTGGTGTCTCTGTGTAATTCCAAAGTTTGGCACCCCTTTTTGGGAAAATGAAAACTCGCCCATCTTGCGCAGAAAACGGGGAACAGCTTTTGTGTACGAACGATGTTTTGTTAAAATTTCAAAACTGAAATATTGAACAACTTAAAGCTTTTAAGAAGATTCATAAAGTACTTTCTGTATTTAGATTAATTAGTTGGGTTTTTTTGCCTAAGGAAATTGGTGACAGAATTTCTCGAAGGACAGAAAGTCAAGTTGGTTTCCGCCTAAGCCGACTCGACATAATATATAGCCTTCATAATGTTTTGAAATTATTTTTTTCTTGAGGAAATTGGTGGCAGAATTTCCTGAAGAATAGAAATCCAATGGAAGTGGTCTCAGCCCACTCGACATAATATATAATAGCTTAAATAAGGTACTTGATATTTATGAAATGACGTAATGAGTGTAACCTAATACAGTGTGTCGGACATATGAAATGACGTAATGAGTGTAACTAATACAGTGTGTCGGACATACGAAATAACGTAATGAGTGTAAACTAATACAACTTCCCGGGCATAATTCCTGGAGGAGGGTTTTTCTTAAACCAAAACCTACTGTAATTAGATAACATATTACATACTAGTACGTCAACCATTGCGCACTTTAATACATTATTTATAAAGGTATTATTCTTTGAATTGTATTTAATTGGGACATTATCGAATACCATACTTTTTATAGAATAACAATAACCATTACTAGGGTTCATTACAATGCGACGTTTCAACGATTCAGATTTCGTATTTTGAAAAACTAAAAATAGAGCCGGATTCACATTTTGTATTTTAAAAAAACTAAACATATCTTCGGAAATATGATATATCACGTGACACGTTCCAATCCGTCCACCTATAAAATGTTATTGTTATATTTGTTATATTACTGCTGATTTCATGTTCAATATTTTTGATAATAAAAATTTCTCATGAATTTCGTTCTTTATTAATTTATTACAATAAAATGGTGTTTAACGCGCTACTTTTCTGCACGAACTGGGCCAGTGAAGACAAGCATACGTGATACAGTGGCGTTTCGGCCTATTCTTCATTCTTCAGTGGCGTTCTTTTATGTGTACTCCATTGTGACCTCGG